GCGTAGATTCTATGCAGCTGAAGTAATAGTGGCTCTGGAGTATCTTCACTGTCAAGGTAGAGTTTTGCGTTAACTTTTTTTTTGAATATTGATAAGTTTACACATCCACTTCAATTCATTTTCCTACTTGCTGTGCATTCTAAATTTCTTTTCTTCTTCAGGTATAATCTACAGGGATTTAAAGCCAGAAAATGTTCTTCTCCTAGACGATGGACATATCTCCTTGACAGACTTTGATTTGTCTTGCTTGACATCTTGCAAGCCGCAGGTGCCACTTCATCCTTTACCACAATCTGCTTTGTATTAGAAGATACCTCTTGATCACTGAAACATATTACTTATAATGGGTACTGTGCAGCTTTTAATTCCGGAGATAAATGAAAAGAAAAGGAACCAAAAAGGTCAGAAAGGTCAGCAGACGCCAGTCTTTATGGCAGAACCAATGAGAGCTTCAAATTCTTTTGTTGGTACAGAAGAATACATAGCTCCGGTTAGTGTCTTCTGGACCGGAGTATATATTTCGCTTTCCATTTACATATATCATATCCGACATTGTTTCTCTTTTCATTTGCTTGCCGTTGATGTTATACTATGTTTTTCTTACTTGGAAGGTTGGATGTTCCGGATATTTGGTCTCAAAGTGATATTTTTATGTTATTTATTCGTACAGCGTAATCACTAGATGCCTAGCTTTAGCTTTCAAATATTTCTAAAAGAATTTTAAGTTTCCAGATACCCAGTTGTTGGTTTCACGATTTTGAATTAAGACTTTAGGAATAGAGGGAAAGAGAAGATAACTGGAATGCTTTCTTTGTTCCTTTCCTTTGTGTTTAATCTCATTGCGGCATATTTCACTTCTGACATCTTAAACTGTTAATGTTACAGGAAATCATTACTGGGGCAGGTCATACTAGTGCAGTGGACTGGTGGGCTCTTGGTAATTTGAATTCTCCCAGATTAGACATAGTTCTTTTTAAATTAATTTTCCCAATATGAAACTGCACTTTGCAGTACTTATTTCTATTCTAATCACTTAGTCTGGCTGCAAGTATATATGCTCGTCTTGTCTAGATCACTTGCCAGAATCTTAATATTCCAGCCAATATATCAATATTTGATACATGCACATATATCCAAGTTTGTTGGACAAAAAGGTGTAAAATATAGTTCCCAAGTAGGTATAATAAGTGATATCTTCCTGAAATACTAGTTTTTAATATTATACACCTCTTAGGACACACAACAACAATTGTTCTTACATATTAAATCTCAAACCACTTCTTTATTTATTGACCAACCTAATTGTTGTTGTTCTGCAGGGATTCTGTTATATGAAATGCTTTATGGATATACGCCATTCAGGGGAAAGACAAGGCAGAAGACCTTTGCCAATGTTCTTCACAAGGATTTAAAATTCCCAAGGAACAAAGAGGTACCTTTCCCTAATTCTTTTAGATGATTTATTTGCATATATTTTTGTGCAAGGTCAACACTTATCATTACATTTTATTAGAACACTACAAAATAGTGTCAAAAGGTGGGTGACCCATACAATCATACGGCAATCATCATTTATCCTCAATTCATCATATTTTTATCATTTATTGTTTGGTTTGCAATTTAACACAATTTCAATAAAAAATTATGTCCTACAGGTGAGCCTCCAATCAAAGCAGTTAATTTATCGATTGCTACATAGAGATCCCAAAAACAGACTTGGGTCACGAGAAGGAGCGAATGAAGTTAAGCAGCATCCGTTCTTCCGTGGTATCAATTGGGCTCTTGTTCGTTGCATGGTAATATTTTTGCATCTCCTTTTGTTGGGTCTCTTTCTTGTTCATGAACCCATTAGTTTCATTTTGGTTGGAGGACCTGGAATTGGATGAGAATTTCAAATGGCCTCAAAAATAAGAATGTTTTGAAAATCCTCCCGAAATCTTTGTTAAAGGAATTAACCATGAAATCCTCAACGTATTGCAATAAAGAATTTGAAGTTCTCAACTTCTCTTTCCAACAATCCAAATGAAGCCTTAGTGTGTGTTTGTATATGAAATATTCAATCCATACTTAACTCATACTCAAAATCTAACTCAACTTTGACCCAACTTTAACCCAACTCCACTATCTTCAATATTAATATAATTAAATAATATCAACCAATCATTCTTATACATCACATCAATTTTAATTTACTATTTACCCACTCACATAATTTTAACTAACCATCATTCACATCATCTCTCTCATACTTTTACATCAAATCAACTTTAATTATTTTATTTTTAATATTATTTTAATATAAACTCAAAATCTCACTAACTAACCATACCACAATTTTTAAAATTAATCATGNTCCAAGCACGCCCTTAATTTCTTAGTAATTAATGACTAATTTCTCTACTAATCTTTCAGAACCCTCCTACGCTTGATGCTCCCCTTTTCAAGGAGAAGGAAAATGACGTTGATCCAGGCCTTGACGACTTGCAAAAGAACGTTTTCTGAAAGGTACGTATGTAAAAATTTCGTTCTCGTTATGTAAAGTTGGTCTTAACATTTGCCTAGGAACTGAATTTGCAAAATTCTTGTCAAGGGGCCCAAGGGCAGGACTTCATAAGTTTTGGGCCTCTGGCGCTCTAGCTGATTTATTATACCTTTTATGATCGACGTTTAGGCCCAATATGTTCCTGATGAAGTTAGGCCCTTCACATTGTTTTGCTTGCTGAAGTCTTTCAGAGTGTTTGTCTTATTTTTTATTTGTTATATTTAAAAGGTTGTGGGATAGTTTGGTTATTTCCAAGGCATCTCAATCCCCATGTAATTTGAAGTGAACTCGTTCGGTTCAGGTTTGTTTTTCTTGTAAAAACCGTGCAAGTAATGATTTTGTCTGTTCTGGGAGTCTTGTAATGTTCATGTACATTATAAAGCACCCTTGTCATTTCTTTTCAACTTTATCATTGCCCCCCTTGTTGAGTTCCACTAATCCGTTGTTACTGATTCATTCAAATTTGAGTGAATTAACTCAAAGTGATTTTTTTTGAGTTAACTACGGTTAATTTAGAAAAAGTGGTGTAGTTAGTTGTTAGTGGGATTTTGAGTTTATATTAAAATATTGTAAATAAAACAATTAATATTGGTTTGATGTAAAAGTAGGAGAGAGATGATATGATGTGATGGTTAGTTAAAATTATGTGAGTGGATGAATAGCGAACTAAAGTTGATATGATGTGTAAAAATGATTGCTTGTTATTATTTAATAATTGGTTGTTATTATTTATATATATTGATAATATTGAGGATAGTGGAATTGAGCTAAAGTTGAGTTAAATTTTGAGTAGAATTAATTTGGTTTGAGTATATTCTTTAACAAACACACCCTTAGTAGTTCATATCCAACACAGGTGGATTTCAGTTTAAAATTACTTGTGATCTCGCAGTTAATTGAACTTTGAAGCTTTTAACTAAGATAACAAGTTCTGAAAATCTTTCGGTCACTTTCCAGATTCATTCATTACCTTCCTAGTCTCTCTATGCTAGTCGAAGATTCGAAAAATGAACAAGTCGAAAATGAACAATCGAAGCCGATGCTGATAATAAGCAACCAAAAAGCATTGCAACAAGCATTAGAAGTTCTCTTTGTGAAACTGAAATCGTGTAGACGAATTCAAGCTGAACTCCTGACAAAGCTTCTTGAGTGGCTTCGTTAGCGTAGGACTCCCACAGTAGAACACGCCTGAAAATACACTCAAAAAACGCTTGAGTTCTAAACTCGATTTTTCAGCTGTGATTTACTTGCAGCAGTAAGATAACAGTACTAAAAGTCGATATATACCTATCCGGGTAGAAGGATGAACGCTGGTTAAGTGAGTGAACACTTTTCTCCAGTTTGGCCGAGCAAAATGTGTTCGTATCTGCAAATGATCGGTAATTTAAAATAAAAAAAAAATTAAATAAAATGAACGAACCAATGCTTTTCCGAGTCGAAAAGTGTATATATATATATATATGTACCCTGCTTTCCGAGACGACATCGACTCCATTTTTTGCGTGTTGTAACGACTGAACCATTGTTATTAGCGCTGACCGAGCATCTCCTTCCTCATACATGCTTGTCAAATAGTTGTGCATTTCTATTATATGCTGCAAAGTCCCAATATCTATACTTTCAGTGAACAGAACATGAAAAAACTTGCTGAATTCTTCAATGCAAGT